CTGATCATTTATGTATACATTTGTCTATATCTATCTCGATTCGTTTTGCCTGTTACAAACAACCGTTATGTGAACAAAGTTATAATACCCTTGTGCACAAGTGCGCTCAGGTATAAAAATCCCACAAACTTTCGTAAAAATTTAGAGCTTTTCGAATTAGATTTTCTAGAAAGATTCTCAGTATGCAGTTTTGTAGCCCACTGAATTCTTGTCGAAGATGTTACCGTTTTCTTCCATATAAAAATAAATCTGTGTATTCGTTATATAGAAGTAAATTTGACAAAAAATTTCTAAAAAATCAACCGTAGTTTTTAGTTATTTGAAACTTATAAAGTACAATATAGAATTCAATGGGCTAGAAAACTGAGTACTCTGAATATTTCTGGGAAATCCATGGGTCGATTATGGATGGCAATGCAACCTCAGTTGGGTTGCCGATGGGTAATGTCACTGAAATAAAAATTATAGTTAAGCTCTATAAAGTTGACCAGCAGCTAAGACTTGAGTGTAAATAAGCTGAAGAAACAATTGGAAAAAATATATAAATTATCTCAATCAAAATTTCCGCGGCAACCACAAAAATGCAGTTGCCAATATAGCAACTCAGTTCCCAGTTGCCATCTGTAATACCATTTCAGCCACTGGCCACCCAACCGAAGTTCGATTGCCATCCGCAATCGACCCACTAATTGGAAAGCTTACGAAAGTTTGCTGAATTTATTTTCAATATTGCACAAGGTTTGAAACCTGGATTTACACGGGTTTTGTTAAAGAATCAACTATATTATATAACAAAATAACCAAATTAAATAACAAACAAAATAATATCTTAATACTTTCAAAATGCGGCTATAACTCTTTCGACCACTGTATGGATATGCATAATTTATATGGGCAAATCTGTTGGCTGCACTGCCAAGTGCGACTTCTATACCTTCGTTAATACTACTTATATGTGTAAATATCAGTAAATAGTTATTCTTAACAAAACTAAAAGTTTAAATGACTAACTTACTTGCTAAAATCGAGAAAATAACGACATTTTTAGTGCAACTCGCATAAAATCTACTTTTTATTAAGGTATAACTTATTAAGCGATCTGACCTAAAGCTCGTGATTTTCAGACGTTCATTTGTAGATTCCGGGGAATAAAAAGATAGGTATTAAACAACTGTACCAGATAAAAAATTTGAAAAAAGACTGCTCACAACTGTAAATATTTTATAAAAATCTTGAATTTTCTTGTGATAGTCGTTGAGCGGTGGAGGATAGTTCCGTGCGCAGCAGTGGGAAGTTTTTGAATGCCATTCACCTGGGAGTGGCCAAAAGTGATTCTTGTGGGTCGATTACGGAAAGCAACGCAACCACCGTTCGGTTGTCAGCTAGCAACGCAACTGGAAAGAAAATGTCTTATAGCTCAGTTATGCATACTGGCACTACTATACTATTTTTACGTAAAAATCAAAACCCAACAGAATTCTACATGTTATGCGTTGGGTCACCGCTTACACGCAAGGCCGTTTAACAAATTCTTATGTGACAACTCTCATGTAAAGCTAAGTATGCATAACTGGGCTATTACGAACGGTAACTATCGTCAGTTGCTGTAGAGTTATCGATAATCGAAATTTGACAATGCGGNACCCAACCGAAGTTCGATTGCCATCCGCAATCGACCCACTAATTGGAAAGCTTACGAAAGTTTGCTGAATTTATTTTCAATATTGCACAAGGTTTGAAACCTGGATTTACACGGGTTTTGTTAAAGAATCAACTATATTATATAACAAAATAACCAAATTAAATAACAAACAAAATAATATCTTAATACTTTCAAAATGCGGCTATAACTCTTTCGACCACTGTATGGATATGCATAATTTATATGGGAAAATCTGTTGGCTGCACTGCCAAGTGCGACTTCTATACCTTCGTTAATACTACTTATATGTGTAAATATCAGTAAATAGTTATTCTTAACAAAACTAAAAGTTTAAATGACTAACTTACTTGCTAAAATCGAGAAAATAACGACATTTTTAGTGCAACTCGCATAAAATCTACTTTTTATTAAGGTATAACTTATTAAGCGATCTGACCTAAAGCTCGTGATTTTCAGACGTTCATTTGTAGATTCCGGGGAATAAAAAGATAGGTATTAAACAACTGTACCAGATAAAAAATTTGAAAAAAGACTGCTCACAACTGTAAATATTTTATAAAAATCTTGAATTTTCTTGTGATAGTCGTTGAGCGGTGGAGGATAGTTCCGTGCGCAGCAGTGGGAAGTTTTTGAATGCCATTCACCTGGGAGTGGCCAAAAGTGATTCTTGTGGGTCGATTACGGAAAGCAACGCAACCACCGTTCGGTTGTCAGCTAGCAACGCAACTGGAAAGAAAATGTCTTATAGCTCAGTTATGCATACTGGCACTACTATACTATTTTTACGTAAAAATCAAAACCCAACAGAATTCTACATGTTATGCGTTGGGTCACCGCTTACACGCAAGGCCGTTTAACAAATTCTTATGTGACAACTCTCATGTAAAGCTAAGTATGCATAACTGGGCTATTACGAACGGTAACTATCGTCAGTTGCTGTAGAGTTATCGATAATCGAAATTTGACAATGCGGCAACCAGCAAGTGGCTGTAAACAAGCTGTGCGAGTAAAATTAAATTATTAAAATAAAGAGTTAAATAAAGGTCAGCAATAAAGCTAAGTTCAGCACAATTATTTGTTTGCACTTCTCGCATGAACGCGGCCTCAATCAGGCAACATTTAAAGGATAATTCCAATCCTCTACAGCTACTGCGGAGTGGGCTTTAGTATTCAGCCGCACCTTTTGTTTTAAGAAAACCAGGTGGAATTAACAAATGAAACTTGGTCAGGATGTTAAGGGAGGTATCCTCTAACACATGTATAACTAAAAAATATAAACAATATAATTCTTTATAAGTTATTTGTTGTTAAAATTTCTCAAGTCGTTCCACTTGATTTCCTTATCAAAGAGTGCATTTGTAACATACTTCCATATATATAAATGCACATAACACTACCTAATAGTTTACACACTTTTATTTTATTTTATATTGTATATAAATAATGTGACCAACCGTACTTCGAAGTACAGTCAAATGTACTTCTTTGCAATATTTTGTACTTCAGGAGGGAGATTCTGTAACCATGATATAAATGTTTTTGCGTCAAAAAGTGCGATAGCGACCCGAAAATTGTCGCTAACTGGTTACAGAATCCCCCCCAGGTCCAGTACTTCTCCGATCTTCTGGACGATCGTCACATGGCCTGGCCGATAAATTCGTTCAAACCATTAAAGTCGCCGGGGACCTATGGCATCATACCTGCGCAGATGCAAAGGGCTTTGAAGCTGTTGTGCAATTGGTTGGGTCCTATTTATGCGAACTGCGGGAGGACCGGGTACATCCCCAAAGCTTGGAAGGTAGTCAGTGTTGCGTTCATCCCGAGGGCCGGAAAAGGCTCTCATGTTTTCTCTAGGGATTTTAGGCCTATCAGTCTCTTTGTTTTCGCTAAAAACGCTAGAGAGACTGATAGACCTGTACATAACAAACGCGATTCTTCGTGATTGTCATTCAAGAGCTCAATGAGATTATTGCAAGAAAAGTTCGGCGAATACCGCCCTGCACACATTGGTAAAGTGGTCAGGGGAAGCCTTCACGAATGAAGATTATGCAGTAGGGGCCTTATACTAGGACCTTAACACCTAATCTGTATTTAGAACAAGAGATTAGCCATATAAAATTCGTCCCTTGTTAATCTGTAATTATTAAATAATCTCATTTAACTGATAACTTTTCGGTGTCCATCCTAGTTTTATCGATTGTTTTTGCGAAAAAAAGGAGAAATGCCAAATGCAAAAGTAAACAAAAATGGACGCTAGCAGGGAAAAGTGGTTTGTAAAGATATTTTTAATAAAATGTTAAGTTCAAATATATGTATATTGCTTATTATAGCAGAAAAACGTGATCACGCCACACAGAGAAGAAACGTAACTTTTCCTTGAGATTTGAGAATAACAACCACGACAAATTTGAAGCTAATAATCTGAGATTTGCCTATGTAAATGGGGTGATTAAAAAACGAGCTTTGATTGAGATAATATTGATAGGTGAACATACTTTTAGTCGATATCGCGGGGGCCTTCAAAAATGTCACTACAGAGACAATAGTCAAGTATATTCATAATCTGGGGATTGAAACCCACCTAATAAGGCTTATCTACAGCTTGCTTCGTGACAGAACTGTCGCGGCGGAGTGGGGGAGCGTCTTCACTCAGTGCAGAGTCAATAGGAGCACTCCACAAGCTGGTTTTCTCTCTCCCCTGCTCTGGTGGGCTGTCGGGTGATCGCCTATGTAGATGATGTGGAACTTTTGGTTAAGGGTCGATTTCTGTACACGCTTTTTGATCTGACTCAAGGTTACCTGAACCAGGTAACTAGGTGGGCGATCAACGGCGGCTGTCGTGGAAGCCTAACATTGAGGAAAGGGTAGGAAAGGCGTCGGTTGCCTTGTACTACTCATTCGAAATTTCGTAATCGGCTCGCGGCGTTAAATTAACCCGAACTAAGCAGTACTTCTTTGAGTTATGAAATAGTTGGTCACATTATAAATCACTTTAATCCAACTTTTATTAACTTATAATTACATTACATTGAACCCATATTTACAATAATACATGGTTGGAAACTGACACATAAGATGTGTTGCCATACCGTACAAAACAATGCAATAGAAAGAATTCTACGTGGTGAGGGTTATAATCCCTAAGTGCGGCCGCAGGCCCCCTACGCAGGAAGATGTTCTCTGCAAAAGGTGTTCCGCCCCCTTTTTTCGGCAACACAGAAAGGAGAATTCTACGTAGTGAGGGTTATAATACCTAAGTGCGGCCGAAGGCCGCCTACGCAGAAAGGTGTCCTCGGCAAGTGATGTTCAGCCCCCCCTCTTTGGCAACACAGAAAGGAGAATTCTACTTAGTGAGAGTTATAATCCCTAAGTGTGGGCGAAGGCCGCCTACGCAGAAATTTGTTCTTTGCAAAAGTTGTTCAGCCCCTCTTCTACGCCAACACAAAAAGGAGAATTCTACTAAGTGAANCACTTTTTCTAGAATTTGTCGTCCGCATACTAAAATTTTCCCCTACTGCGCACTGTAAGCAAAAGTTAATGCTTTCAAGGTTTTTCTTTTATTATCGTTTTGTGTTCATTTTCAAGGCATACTGGGGACTTCCAAAATAAGCTGTGGTGGNCAACACAGAAAGGAGAATTCTACTTAGTGAGAGTTATAATCCCTAAGTGTGGGCGAAGGNCACTTTTTCTAGAATTTGTCGTCCGCATACTAAAATTTTCCCCTACTGCGCACTGTAAGCAAAAGTTAATGCTTTCAAGGTTTTTCTTTTATTATCGTTTTGTGTTCATTTTCAAGGCATACTGGGGACTTCCAAAATAAGCTGTGGTGGAATTGGTTAATAAACAGATGAATCACTTCGTTCAACTTCAATACCTCCGCTCACAAAAAGCTTGCGCACCTCTTCGATTTTTCGCCGAAGGAAGTGCCACCGCAATGACTTCAATTTAAAAAACTTGGTGCGTCGGTAGTTTTAAAAGAGGTACTTCAGTTGATAAAGGAAAAAATTTGCAGNTGATGTTCAGCCCCCCCTCTTTGGCAACACAGAAAGGAGAATTCTACTTAGTGAGAGTTATAATCCCTAAGTGTGGGCGAAGGCCGCCTACGCAGAAATTTGTTCTTTGCAAAAGTTGTTCAGCCCCTCTTCTACGCCAACACAAAAAGGAGAATTCTACTAAGTGAAAACTCCGAATTAAAAATCTGCTTTTATTATTCAAAATGCCAGTCTGACAGCACCAAGTTTGATGCTATTTTGCTATCTTATTCATCGTTTATACGAAAACTTAACCAACAAATTATATAANTCAAATTATTCAAAAGTAAAATATATGACAAACTTATAAATTTTCGCTTCTAAATACGCTCCAAAAACCTTCCCAGCAACCACAAAAATGTAGTTCCCTGTATACACACTAGACTGTTCGTTATTTTAACTATTTTTTTAAATATACAGTTTGCCGGGCTCAAAAAGATGTCTTTTGGTCTAAAAATAAGCAGTGCAAAATTTTATTCGAATATGATAACTCTAAGTACTTGCGCGTTGCATTTGAAAATTTAGAAAACCATATGCACTCTGGGAAAAAAATTTCTAACAAAATAGTTGAAAGTCGTGAATTTTATAGTCATTTGCCATGTAAAATAACCTACACAATCTGAATATGAGGTCAAAAATTAAAAAGGTAGAATACGTTTTAAGAATTTGCGAAATTATCGTTTTTTTCAAATTGAGAAAACAGCATTTTCAATTTTTTCCAAAAATATCCGGTTGTGATTATCACACCACCAGAT